AGCTCGCGCGAGCTCATGTAACATAAATGTTGAAAAACCAATTGTTTTTAAGGATTCGGACAGCGCGCGCGGGTAGAAATTTGGAAAATCCGTGCACGTGTTTTTCGAGGACCTACGGTGCGATTCGTGCGATTTTATGATACGCGGTGCTGGAATTCTTAAGAAACCCAATGGTGTTTGAAGATTTCGGCGTGCGCGCGCGAAGAAAAAACGAATGTGTCCCATATGGTGTTATTTGACAGGGATGATGGCCCTGGCAGGCGCGCAACCGTTGTTGCAGAAGTTCGAAGCACGTGAAAAAGTTGCTTGCAAGAGCCCGTTTGACAGAAATGTTGAAAAAGTATTGGGTTTCCTAAGAAATCCGCAAGAGCGCGCGGGATGAATTTTTGAAACCTTTTTTGGGAAAACCATTGGGTTTTTCATGTTTGTATGTTAAAATCGCTACGAAAACTAAGGTTTTGGAAGGATTTCATCTTGCGCGCGCGAGTGTGCACTTCGTCTCATTTTTTGCAAAGGATTCTTGAAGTTTGGCTATGTTAGAACAAGACATGTCATTTTATATTGTTTTTTGACAGGGAAAGCGGGCGTCAACAAAACAACCGGATCCGGACTCCCCCGTTTTGCCTGGGACTTCCTCACGAAAATGATGAAAATGTGGCTGCGGCCTAGGCGCGGCGAGGGGGGCGTGCACCAGGGGGCCCAACAATAATTATTCTTTAGAAGTAATAATATTCAACAATTACTAGCACGTGGGGACACTCCGTTCTCACCAGTGCCAGGGTTTCATAGGAGGCGGGCAATACCCCCACTTTGTGGGGGGGCCGGTTCAAGCTCTACCAAATTTCCAAACGACTCTTCGCCACCACCCACACCCAGCTTCCCGCCCTATGACGTTCGGACACTTCACTTCGTGGCATGCGGACGACCGTGGCTACTATTCAGGGCCCCGCGGCGGACGACGACGGCGTGCGCGCGCGAAGAAAAAACGAATGTGTCCCGCATGGTATTATTTGACAGGGATGATGGCCCTGGCAGGTGCGCAACCGGTGTTGCAGAAGTTCGAAAAAGTTGCTCGCAAAAGCCCGTTTGACAGAAATGATTAAAAAGTGTTGGGTTTCCTACGAATCCGCAAGAGCGCGCGGGATGAAATGTTGACAATTTTTGTTTGAAAAACCATTGTTTTTTTATGTTTTTATGTTAAAATCGCTACGAAAACTAAGATTTTGGAAGGATTTCGTCTTGCGCGCGCGAATGTCCACTTTACCTTATTTTTTGCAAGGGATTCTTGAAGTTTGGTTATGTTAGAACAAGAAATGTCCACTTTAGCTTATTTTTTGCAAGGGAAAACCGATCGTAACAACACAACCGGATCCGGACTCCCCAGTTTTGCCTGAGACTTCCTCACGAAAATGATGAAAATGAGGCTGCGGCCTAGGCGCGGCGGGGGGGTCGTGCACCAGGGGTCCCAACAATAATTATTCTTTAGAAGTAAGAATGTTCAACAACAACAACAACAACAACAACAACAACAACAACAACAACAACAACAACAACACCACCACCACCACCACCACCAACAACAACAACAACAACAACAGCAGCAACAACAACAGCAGCAACAACAATAACAACAAAAAACAAAAACAACAGCAACACCAACAATAATTTGACCCTCATGCGCCACGTTTCCACACGAAACATGCGACCATCATGACAACCATCCCCATCATTGGGGACTCTTGTTCTATAGCGGGTTCTGTGATTCCCATTCCCAAAACTCCCGGCCAATAAGGTCTTGCAAGCACCCCCTCCGAAGAATGTCAACAAATCCCCCTTCAAAAATGCATGCCCGCGCCTTGCTGCGCCGATGCGAGACCGCCAGTGGAGCCCCAGCCAAGGGTAAAGCACAAGGAAGTATCGAGCGACAGGATTGCCTTGGTGGAGATGGGGGCTGTCGGCGGCGAGGCAAGGACCTGGCCCTGAATAGAAAAGGAGGAAGTCTCGAGTAGGGCCGCTGTTCTTGCTGGGAGCGGCGCAAATGCTGAAGAGAGCAGGGCGGTAGTCCAGCTTAAAACAAAACGAAGTCTCGAGCGGGAACGCTGGTTTTGTTGGGACGGCGGTTGTCGGCGGCGAGGAAGAGCACCGCCTTGAGTAAGAAGGGAGGAAGTCTCGAGCGGGAGCCATGGTTTTGTCGGGACGGGGACTGTCGGCGGCGAGCAAGAGCACCGTCCTGAGGAAAAAAACAAAAAGGAAGTCTCGAGCGGGAGCGTTGTTCTTGCTGGGAGCGGCGCCAATTCAAAAGAGAGCAGGGCGCCAGTCCAGCGTAACACGGGAGACAGTCTCGGGCGGAAGCGCTGGTTTTGTCGGGATGGTGGCTTTCGGCGGCGAGGAGGAGCACCGCCTTGAGTAAAAAAGGGAGGATGTCTCGAGCGGGAGCGTTGTTGTTGTTGGGGGCGACGCCGAAAAGAGGAAGAGTAGCGCGCCAGTCCAAGGTAAAAAGGGAGGAAGTCTCGAGCGGGAGCCATGGTTTTGTCGGGAGGGCAGCTGTCGGCGGCGAGCAAGAGCACCGTCCTGAGGAAAAAAAACAAAAAGAAAGTCTCGGGCGGGAGCGTTGTTCTTGCTGGGAGCGGCGCCAATTCAAAAGAGAGTAGGGCGCCAGTCCAGCGTAAAACGGAAGACAGTCTCAGGCGGGAGCGCTGGTTTTGTCAGGACGGCGGTTTTCGGCGGCGAGGAGCACCGCCTTGAATAAAAAAGGGAGGATGTCTCGAGCGGGAGCGTTGTTGTTGCTGGGGCGGCGCCGATGAGAGGAAGAGTAGCGCGCCAGTCCAAGGTAAAACGGGAGGAAGTCTCGAGGGGTAGCGCTGGTTTTGTTGGGACGGCGGCTTTCGGCGGCGAGCAAAAGCTCCGGCCCTGAATGAAAAAGGAGGAAGTCTCGAGCGGGGGCGTTGTTGTTGTTGGGGGGCCCGTTTTGGCGCCCCCCAAACTGCTTGAGCGTGAGCCTCATTTTCAATGAAAATGTAGCTGGCGCCGAGGCGAGAGCGCCAAAGCGCCTGGGTGGATCCAACAATCATAAGAGTTTAGCAATTAGCACTCAACAACAGCAGCAACAACAACAACAGCAACAACAACAACAACAGCAACAACAACAATAAGTTTAAGACAGTTCGTTCTTATCTGCTCGCGCGTACCTCACCACGTATATCCCAAAGCCCCGATTCCCGCCCTCGTCGTCTGCGATTGTACCCCCTCTGGGGGGTACACCTTCCTGACCTGCCAGGTGTATTGGGCGCAGCCCCTCAAAGAGCAAGAGGCATGAGAAAGGGGGGAGAGAGAAAGAGAGGAAGAAAGGAGCAGGGGAAGGGAGGGCGGCAAGGGACCAGAGGGAGGGAGCAGAGCTGCGGACGGGAGAGAGACTAGATGGTGGGCGGCCTACGAGAGGATCCCGGAACAGCAGCGGCAGACCCGGAGGGCTGGGTCGGGCAACAGTCCCCCACGGGCGGGACGGGCGGGCGCGGGCCCTGATGCTTGGGTGACGCCGAGCTGTCCCTCTGGCGACCGCCCTCCCCTTGCACTCGCAGTGTGGACGCTCAAGCAGGCACGCAACTCTCCCCCCCAAGAGGGGCCCGCCTCCCGCTCCGGGGGGGGGGGCCCTGCCCCGGGTGGGCCAGCGCCCATGGCAAAAAAGGGGCTCGGGGCTCTCTGGCCCAGACCAACGCGCCGAGGAGAAGAGGGCAAAATCAATCAGCAGAACAACGAGGTCGGGCCGGAGTCCCCCAACGGGCGGGTCGGGCGGGCGGGGCCCGCGGACCCCGACGGGCGGGCCCCGACGGGCGGGCCGGGCGTGCGGGGCGCGAGAGCACCCGGCGAGCTGCCAATTTGGGCCGCCGGGCCTGCCGTCACGGGCACCGTCGGGCGGGGGCGGGCCCGTCGGGCGGCTCACAGCGCGAGTTCGGGAAGGCTCGCGGGCGCGCCCGTTGGGGGGAAGGCTCGCGCGAGAGAGCGTGCGGGCACATCCTCGATACTCGGCACTGTGTGGTGGGCGCGGCGCGGCCCCTAAAGACAAGGAAAGAGGGGAGACGGGAACGAAGAAGGAGAGAGAGAGCTACTTTCAGGAGGGAAAGAAGCACACAGACACAATTAATCTTCGATTTCCAAGAAAATATGGGAAACTATGGGAAGTGGGGAGAGAAAGAGAGAGAGAGAGAGAGAGAGAGCGAGAGACATGGACGTACACATCCTTAAGGCTTCGCACGCTCAAGCCACCGCGCGCGCTTTGCACGCGCTCGTGTTCTGCCTGTCGTGGAGCCCAAAGCACAGCGTGGAGAAAGAACCCAGCCCGTGCAAACGGGCACCGTGGGTTTCGAACCATGTCCCGGCGGCAAACCCAGGCGGCTCCCGCCGCCTCCTCGCCTCCCCTCGTGCTGCGGAGGAACGAAGCCGAGGACGCAGGGCCGGGCACCGAGGAAGAGGGAGGGGGGCACGGAGCAGGCGGGGTGGGGAAGGCAAGACCGGCTGCAGGGAGCAGGGGGCCAGAGAGGGGCGGGGCAAGAGGCAGGAGGGGAAAGGGGCAGCTGCTGGCGGAGAAGCTGTGGAGAAGAACGACGGCGGAGGGAAGGCGAGGAGGCAAGAGAATGATAGAGGAAGAGGAGGAGAACGGGACGGGACCCGTCACGCGGCAGTCTGCCCGAGGGCTCTCCGAGACACGGAGGCCCCTGAGATACGCTGTGGAGTCTCCTGAATTGCTTGGGAGCCTACGTGAAATATGTTTGGGCCTCCTGGGGCCTCTTGGGAAGCCACTTGGAGGCTTCCTCGGGGCCTCAGGGGGCCTCTTGGGAGCTTCTTGGAGGCCAGTTGGCGGTGTCCGACTCTTGGGGGCCTCTCTGGGGCTCTTTTGGGGCATCGTGGACCCTCTAGGGGAGCCTCTTGGCTTGTGCGGGGGCCCTTTGGGGGCGTCTTGGGCCACTCTTGGGCCCCCCTTTGCGTGCTCGTGGGCGGTCTTTTTTTGTTGCTGCTTTTGTCGCCGAGGGGTAATCTTGCAGTGTCTCAGGCTATATGTTAAAAAAACTGTACACTCGAGGGGCGATTCTGCCGACAGGGCGTGCCGACAGGACGATCCAGCCCCCCTGCAAGACAGATCCAAACATTTAACAGGCGTTGAGATGCGATCGCGCCCAGGCCACAGCGGGACGCCGTCCGCACCTTTTGTTGCCAGAAGAGCACATGCGATGTAGGCATTTGAAGCACATCAACTGTAGATTCGCAGGTCTGTCTTGCAGGGTCATGCTCCAAAGGCCGAGAGGCTGGGATTGGACTGCAGGGCGACCTGTAGGTCTGTCTTGCAGGGTCATGCTCCAAACTTCGAATGGTGCAAAGCCGCTGCACGACCTCAGGCTAGTGCTTGGAGTGAGGGGCGACGGGAGGGGTAAAGGAAAAAAGGGGCACTCCGTAGAGGCTCAAAGACCATCCTCAAAGGGAGGATCCACCACGCCTTGGAAGCTGACACCAAGGCTGCCCCGAATTCTGGTTCACCGCCGACGTTCCAAACTACCCGAACCTGGGGCCCACAGTATCGCACAAAAGAAAGGGAAGGAAGGGAGAGGAGGGGGGAACTGAGGGGATGCAACAGGGAGAGGGGGAGCATACGGGGGGGAGGGGGGGGAGGGCGAATGAGCAGGGCGCGGGCAACAGCGCCGACAGGCTGGCCCAAGCGGCTACGAGAGCGAATGGGTCAGAGAATAGCCCTACCACGCCTTTGCTCCATCGTCATCCTCGTCTTCCACGCCAACACCACCACACCCCCTGTCTGAGCGACGACCGTAAGGCTGGACTCCACCAGCACCCCGGACCGCAGTCAGATTCGGCAACACGGGCAAAGTACGTATGCGGATGCGTGTGGGTGTCTGACGTGACCTGATAGTCCAAAGGTCTCAATCCAAACCGCAGATGGGAAATGCTACGCCCACGCGAACCAGACCGTAAGTCCAAGCGAAGTGCCGACACGACGTCTCCAACATCGTGTATGCTCTATTAATTTACATGCTGCGCGCCACCGTGCATCTTGCACGTAATGGGCGGTCCACATGTTATCGGCGGCCCTGGTAGTCGAGCATGAGGGAAATTCGACGACGCCAGGCAATCGCAACGAAAATAAGCGCGCGCAGCCCCCGAACAAAAAGGCTCAAACAGAGCACCACTATGACGCGACGAGGTGGGACGAGAAATTCCATCCCACTGAGCAAGCGCAGCCGAATATGTCTGCCTGTGCAACACGAGTGAAAGTGCAGCATGACGGGGTCCGTGCTAGATGAAGCAACTACTTCCGTCCGCTAAAGAGACGTACGAGAAAACGGCGCCGAAGCTCCACCACGACCGTTGAGGTAAAGTGCGTGCGCGGCTCCACAGCGTAGTACTGGCGCCACAGCTCCAATGCGCTGCTCCACAGCTGCTCTTGAGGGGAGCGGCGCCACAGCTCCACTCAGACCCACGTCTGGCGGATTCAGGCTGGGTGGTACCACCGGCCCTGCGACCTCAGAGCGGCCCGGCGTGCTGCCGAGGGCGACCTCGGCGGCATGGCCAGCGGGGCTGCCGGCGCCGCGGGCCTGAGCGCCCCACGGCGCAGCCCCCTGGCGGCGGCGCCAGCCCAGCCCCTGGGGACGCCTGCAGCGCCCCCCGCCGCTGCCGGCTCGCGGCGGCCCTCCTCGGCAGCCTGGCGCCGCTCCCTCGCGCCCACCTCCCAGGGCGAGCACCTCGGCCGCAGGGCAGCCGCGGCCCTCTGCTGCTCCCAGTACGCCTCGGAGCGCAGGCGCCTCGGGGGGGCCCCTCTCGGCGCCGGCGCCGCAGGCACCCTCCTGGTGGTCTGCGGTGCGGGCAGGCTCTGGGGTGCTGCCCAGAGCGCGCGCTCCAGGAGCACGGTCTCGTCGCCGCCCTCTGGCAGCACGGGGGCGCCCCGGCTCCCCTCGCGCGCGTCGGCGTCCGCGGCGTCGCCGAAGGCGAGCAGCTCCGCGGACGGGCACCGCGTGGAAGCCGAGGCGATGCTCGCGGCCCCGCCCTTCCTGGGCTCGGCGCGGCTCCCCTCGCCGTCTCGGGCCATGGCACGGGGGCTGAGCATGCTGGTGTCCTGCTGTTCTGTTGCTGTGCCGGCGCGCGTGGCAAGCGGCTTGAACCAAAATGGCTACGCAGGGTGCTCGTGGGCAGTCTTGGGCGCCTCTTTCGCCGCCTCGGGGCTCCCTTGGAGGCATCTTGGGCCGTCTTGGGGCGGTGTTTGGGGCCGTCTTGAACGCTGTTAGGCTAGAGGAAACGCATGTTCTAGAAATGCGCGTTTCTGTCAGGAATGGGAAGATGTTTGCCTCTTGTCTGGGAGCCGTCTTCGGGCCACTTCGGGGCATCACAGGCCGCGTTGACGCCGCCTTGCTGTCTGGGCGTCTGGAAGCCTACTTCGCCCGTCGTGGACTCCGCTGGAACTTATCTGGAAGCTCCCGGGGGCCCAGGGCATTTCTGGAGTCTGGGGGCGACCTGGGAGGCCCCGAGGCGGAGGGTGGACCGAAGTTCCACCAGCCGCCCCCCTCGTGTGCTGCGGCCCTGGCCCTCCCCTGGGCCCAGCTATGAGACATGCTGCAAGCACAGTTTTGCATAAATGTTTCAAGGTGAACGATTTCTTAGTCGGCGTTTCGACATTGGGCGGAAGGGGCGGGACCTGGAGTCTGGCTCTGGACCTCTGCTTAGTGCGACTGTTTACAGCAGTGCGTCCATTATGGGGGAGGCTCCACAGCTCCACCTGCCTGAAACAGGCACCCAAAACAGCCAAGATCTACTCCATAGTGGGTGGGGGGGGCTCGCGCCGATCGGCAAAACAATAAATAATTGATCCTGGCGATGGGGCCCAACCATATGCAGCTGTGGGTACCGCAATTGTGAATATCTTCTTCGGTGAAGCTCCCTATGGGGCCACGAAGCGCTGCACTGGGTGGAGGGGAACGCATGCGGGCGGTAGCACTGGGGCCGTCGGTGGATTTCCCTATGGGGCCACGCAACGCTGTACTGCGTGGGTGCAAATGCCAAATTGGGTGTGTGGGGTGCATGCAGGCGGTCCCACTGATGCCTTGGGTTGAGCTCCCTATGGGGCCACGAAGCGCTGTGCTGGGTGGGTGAAAACGCCAAATTGGATGCTTCCGGGACGCATGCGGACGGTGTCACTGGGTCCTTCGGTGGAGCTCCCAATGGGGCCACGAAGCGCTGTACTAGGTAGGTGAAAATGCCAAATTTGATGTTCCGGGGCGCGTGTGGACGGTCCCTCTGGGGGCTTCGGTGGAGCTCCCTATGGGACCACGAAGCGCTGTACTGGGTGGGCGAAAACGCCAAATTGGGCTTCCGGGGCGCATGCGGACGGTCCCGCTGGGGCCTTCGGTGGAGCTCCCTCTGGGGCCACGAAGCGCTGTACTGGGTGGATGGAAATGCCAAATTGGATGTTTCGGGACGCATGCGGACGGTCCCACTGGGATTAGGTCGGGCCTGTCCCCCTACAGGGGGATTTTGGAAAAATATAAAAAAATACTAAATAAATGACCCTTGCGACGTGCCCAACCCTTGCGCAATGCGGTGCATAAGTACATCAGGATTGCTACAACGGGGGCGATGACGTAACATGGACGCATGTGGTTTTGGGAGCAGCAATTGGAAGGCTCGCAGGCCCCCGATCAAGATATAAGGGCGTCGTAAGGGTTACTAACGCAGCCCCCCACAGGGACGGCGAGGTCTCGCTCAGGTTTCCGCGGTGCCTCACTCCGCTGGACCCGCCAGCAGCCCTCGAAAGTGGCGACAGTGTCGCAGATCGCAACCCCCCAGGGACGGCGAGGTCTCACTCAGATCCCCGCGGTGCCTCACTCCGCTGGACCCGCCAGCAGCCCTCGAAAGTGGCGACAGTTTCGCAGATCGCAGCCCCCCAGGGACCGCGAGGTCTCGCTCAGATCCCCGCGGTGCCTCACTCCGCAGGACCCACCAGCAGACCTCGAAAGTGGCGACAGTGTCGCAGATCGCAGCCCCCCAGGGACGGCGAGGTCCCGCTCAGATCCCCGCGGTGCCTCAGTCCGCAGAACCAACCAGCAGCCGTCGAAAGTGGCGACAATGTCGCAGATCGCAGCCCCCCAGGGACGGCGAGGTCCCGCTCAGATCCCCGCGGTGCCTCACTCTGCAGGACCCACCAGCAGCCCTCGAAAGTGGCGACAGTTTCGCAGATCGAAACCCCAGGGGACGGCGAGGTCACGACTCCAGGGGCCGTGCGGTTGCCTATCACTCGCAGACCACCAGGCAAGCCCATCGAAGTGGCGACATTTCGGCAGATCGCAGCCCCCCAGGACGGCAGTCCTTGCTCGATCGGATCGTGACCTCAATCCGCAGGACCCACCAGCAGCCCTCGAAAGTGGCGAAAATTTCGCAGATCGCAGCCCCCCAGGGACGGCGAGGTCCCGCTCAGGTCCGTGCGGTGCCTCACTCCGCAGGACCCACCAGCAGCCCTCGAAAATGGCATATTTCGCAGATCACAGCCCCCCCAGGGACGGCGAGGTCCCGCTCAGATCCGCGCGGTGCCTCACTCCGCAGGACCCACCAGCAGCCCTCGAAAGTGGCGACAATGTCGCAGACCGCAGCCCCCCAGGGACGGCGAGGTCCCGCTCAGGTCCGCGCGGTGCCTCACTCCGCAGGACCCACCAGCAGCCCTCGAAAGTGGCGACAATGTCACGCAGATCGCAGCCCCCCAGGGACGGCGAGGTCCCGCTCAGGTCCGCAGCAGGTGCCTCTCGCAGGACCCACCAGCAGCCATCGAAAGTGGCGACAGTTTCGCAGCGGAGCCCCCATGGACGGGCGAGTCCCGCATCGGTCCGCCGCGGTGCCTCACCCCGCAGGATCCACCAGCAGCACTCGAAAGTGGCGACGGTTTCGCAGATCGCAGCCCCCCAGGGACGGCGAGGTCCCGCTCAGGTCCGCGCGGTGCCTCACTCCGCAGGACCCACCAGCAGCCCTCGAAAGTGGCGGCAGTTTCGCAGATCGCAGCCCCCCAGGGACGGCGAGGTCCCGCTCAGGTCCGCGCGGTGCCTCACTCCGCAGGACCCACCAGCAGCCCTCGAAATTGGCGACAATTTCGCATAGAAGATCGCACAGCCCCCCAGGGACGGCGAGGTCCCGCTCAGGTCGTGCGGTGCCTTCACTCCGCAGGACCCACCAGCAGCCCTCGAAAGTAGCGGCAGTTTCCCAGATCCACAGCCCCCCAGGGGCGCCGTCGGGACGACCTATAAAGCGTCCGCGCGGTGCCTCACTCCGCAGGACCCACCAGCAGCCCTCGAAAGTGGCGGCAGTTTCGCAGATCGCAGCCCCCCAGGGACGGCGAGGTCCCGCTCAGGTCCGCGCGGTGCCTCACTCCGCAGGACCCACCAGCAGCCCTCGAAATTGGCGACAATTTCGCAGATCCCGTGTCGTCGGCGAAGAGGGGGAAGACAAAAACCCAGAAAATATAGGAAAATATGGGGAATCCTTTTATGTGTGTATTTGCTTGTGTGTCCCAGTTCCCCTTCATACTTGGAGGACAAGGATGAAACACAGGGCAGACTTGGAGGCGCGAGCGAGCATGGGGCACGAAGGGCCTGACACCCTGACCGGCGTGCCGCGCGGGCGGATCGATCGTGAGCTCTGCGCGATTAGCCGTGGAGTTTCCAGCGAGAGAGCGATTCTCAATGGGGCCCTGGGACACACAAATAAATACACACAAATAAAAATATCCCCCGCATTTTCCTATATTTTCTGGGTTTTTGTCTTCCCCCCCACTTCCAATATTTTCCCATATTTTCCTTGGGGTCGACGATTAATTGTGTCTGTGTGTTTTTTCCCCTCCTGAGAAGTTTCCAGCGAGAGAGCGATTCATAAGTAAATTCGAGGACGTCCCCAGCGAACGCTCGACTCCTGAACGGCAAGAGCGCGGCGCCTGAGCAAACTGCACGGAAATCTCAGGCGGGAGCGCGGCTCTCGAGCAAATTGCGGGGAAGTCTCAAGCGGGAGCGGGGGACCAGAGTAAACTTCGAGGAAGTATCAGGCGGGAGCCGTCGTTGTTGCAAAGCGGGGGCCAGAAGCACAATTTGAGGAGGAACACTTTCCCTGAAAAAAAGGGTGCGAGCCCCGGCAGGGGTACTTTACTTGAAAAAATACTATGTGCACCGGAGGGGGGGATCAACAATAAGTCGTCTTCAGTACTGAGAGTTCAACAACAACAACAACAACAACAACAACAACAACAACAACAACAACAACAATTACTAGCACGTGGGGACACTCCGTTCTCACCAGTGCCAGGGTTTTCATACGACGCCCGCCAATACCCCCACTTTGTGGGGGGGCCGGTCCAAGCTCTACCACATTTCCAAACGACTCTTCGCCACCACCCACACGCAGCTTCCCGCCCTATGACGTTCGGACACTTCACTTCGTGGCCTGCGGACGACCGTGGCTACTACACTGGCGCATGGGTACAGTGACTTGTTGTGGTAACATTTTCTGGACGATAGCTTAGTATACGACTTTTCCCCCTGTTCCAACACTGGACACCTGTACTGGTTTTTGGTGGTAACGTGTTCCTGACGCTAGAATAGGAAACCACGGTAAACCAGTACGACGCCGGTACTGTCTGTAGGTCCTACAATGATATGGACTGCTTTGGCTGGTGAGGCGCTAGCGTCTGATACGACGTTTTTCCGTTTCTGGCAGGTGCGCAACCGTTGTTGGAGAAGTTCGAAGCACGTGAAAAAGTTGCTCGCAAAAGCCCGTTTGACAGAAATGTTTATAAAGTGTCGGGTTTCCTACAAATCCGCAAGAGCGCGCGGGATGAAATTTTGACACTTTTTTGAAAAACCATTGGTTTTTTGATGTTTTTATGTTAAAATCATTACGAACACTAAGGTTTTGGAAGGATTTCGTCTTGCGCGCGCGAATGTCCACTTTACCTTATTTTTTGCAAGGGATTCTTGAAGTTTGGTTATGTTAGAACAAGAAATGTCCACTTTGCCTTATTTTTGGCAAGGGAAAACCGCCCGTAACAAAACAACCGATCCGGACCAACCCGTTTTTGCCTGAACTTCTCCCCCCCCCCCCCCCCCCCCCCGAAAAAGATGAAAAATTGGGCCTGGCTGCGCGCCTAGGCGCGCCGAGGGGCCGGCACCAGGGCGGGGTCTCAACAATAATATTTCTTTAGAAGTAATAATGTTCAACAACAACAACAACAACAATCATTTAAGACTGGGGACACTCCGTTCTCACCAGTGCCAGGGTTTTCATAGGAGGCGGGAAATACCCCCACTTTGTGGGGGGGCCGTTTCAAGCTATACCAAATTTCCAAACGACTCTTCGCCACCACCCACACCCAGCTTCCCGCCCTATGACGTTCGGACACTTCACTTCGTGGCATGCGGACGACCGTGGCTCTATTCAGGGCCCCGCGGCCGACGACGACGGCGTGCGCGCGCGAAGAAAAAACGAATGTGTCCCGCATGGTATTATTTGACAGGGATGATGGCCCTGGCATGCGCGCAACCGTTGTTGCAGAAGTTCGAAGCACGTGAAAAAGTTGCTCGCAAGAGCCCGTTTGACAGAAATGTTGAAAAAGTACTGGGTTTCCTAAGAAATCCGCAAGAGCGCGCGGGATGAATGTTTGAAACTTTTTTTTTGAAAAACCATTGGGTTTTTCATGTTTTAATGTAAAAATCGCTACGAAAACTAAGGTTTTGAAAGGATTTCATCTTGCGCGCGCGAGTGTGCACTTCGTGTCATTTTTTGCAAAGGATTCTTGAAGTTTGGTTATGTTAGAACAAGACATGTCATTTATATTGTTTTTTGACAGGGAAAGCGGGCGTCAACAAAACAACCGGATCCGGACTCCCCCGTTTTGCCTGAGACTTCCTCACGAAAATGATGAAAATGTGTTTGCGGCCTAGGCGCGGATAGGGGGGAGTGCCACCAGGGGGCCCAACCCAACAATAATGATTTCTTTAGAAGTAATAATATTCACCAACAACAACAACAACAACAACAACAACAAAACAACCAACACAACAAACAACAACAACAACTTTACTAGCAGTGGGGACACTCCGTTCTCACCAGTGCCAGGGTTTCATACGACGCCCGCCAATACCCCCACTTTGTTTGGGGGGCCGGTTCAAGCTCTACCACATTTCCAAACGACTCTTCGCCACCACCCACACCCAGCTTCCCGCCCTATGACGTTCGGACACTTCACTTCGTGGCCTGCGGACGACCGTGGCTACTACCCTGGCGCATGGGTACAGTGACTTGTTGTGGTAACATTTTCTGGACGCTAGCTTAGTATACGACTTTTCCCCCTGTTCCAACACTGGACACCTGTACTGGTTTTCGGTTGGATAACGTGTTCCCTGACGTACTTCAAAGCGCGCGCGGGTAGAAATTTTGAAAATTCGTACAAATGTTTTTCGAGGACCTACGGTGCGATTCGTATGATTTTATGTTGCGCGGTGCTAAAATTCCTAAGAAACCCAATGGTTTTTGAAGATTTCGGCGTGCGCGCGCGAAGAAAAAACGAATGTGTCCCGCATGGTATTATTTGACAGGGATGATGGCCCTGGCAGGTGCGCAACCGCTGTTGGAGAAGTTCGAAGCACGTGAAAAAGTTGCTCGCAAAAGCCCGTTTGACAGAAATGTTTAAAAAGTGTTGGGTTTCCTACGAATCCGCAAGAGCGCGCGGGATGAGATTTTGACAATTTTTTGTTGAAAAACCATTGGTTTTTTGATGTTTTTATGTTTAAATCGTTGCGAACACTAAGGTTTTGGAAGGATTTCGTCTTGCGCGCGCGAATGTCCACTTTACCTTATTTTTGCAAGGGATTCTTGAAGTTTGGTTATGTTAGAACAAGAAATGTCCACTTTGCCTTTTTTTTTTGCAAGGGAAAACCGCCCGTAACAAAACAACCGGATCCGGACCAACCCGTTTTGCCGGAGACTTCCTCACGAAAATGATGAAAACATGGCTGCGGCCTAGGCGCGGCGAGGGGGCCGCGCACCAGGGGTCCCAACAATAATTATTCTTTAGAAGTAATAATGTTCAACAACAACAACAACAACAACAACAACATCATCAACAACAACAAATATTACAAGAATAACAACAAGAACAACAATAGCAACAACAACAACAACAACAACAACAACAACAACAGCAACAGGAACAGCAACAACAACGACAACGACAACGACAACGACAACAACAACAAAAACCAAAACAACAACAAAAACAAAAACAACAACCACAACAACAACAGCAGCAGCAGCAAAAACATCAACAGCATAGACCACAACAGCAACAACAGCAGCAACAACAACAACAACCACAACAACAGCAACAATAACAACAGCAATAACAACAACCACAACAACAACAAAAAACAGCAACAGCCACAACAATAACAGCACACCATATGCAGACTCGAAATCGTAAGCAGCACCATCATCATCATGAGAACAATCCTGATCGCACTCATACGGATAGTGATATTCCTACTCCTGCTCATACGCAAACTCATGGTCAGTCGCATACTCACACCCATACTCACACTCACTCTCGTACTCGTACTCTTATCATAAGCACAATCATAGTTGTACTCATACTCATACTCAACATCATCAACCACCAACCATCAATCAGCATCATCAAAGTCATCAACATCGTCATCATCAGCAGCAGCATCATCATCGTCATCACCACCAAAACCACCACAACCATGATAGTATTGATCATCATCATCACCATCAGCAGAATCGTCATCGCCATTAGAGTCATGAGCATCATAATAGCCATGATCATTATCATCATCACCACCATCATCATCAATCATCCTTAAGATCGTCGTCGTCATCACCACCACCATCAATATCATTATCCATCCGATCATAATATTAATCATCGTCGCCGGCGCCCGAAACACCATCAGCAATAACATCATCAACAGCATCAACATCGTCTTCAGCATCACCATGGTACGCGTCGTCGTCGTCATCATCCCCCTCCCACTCCCCCTCCTCCTCCTCCTCCTCCTCCTCCTCCTCCTCCTCCTCCTCCTCCCTCATTAACCTGTTCCTCCGCCTCCTCCTCAGCCTCTTCCATAGCGGGAGGGAAGCTCCTCCGCTTCAGACGTCTCGGTCTGGGAAAAGTTGGAGTCCATGGTGCTCACAGTAGGCAGCTTGTCGCGCTGGCGGACGGGAGGGCAAGGTGAGGCTCCACGAGTCGACTCGCCAAAGCCATCACAACGCAGAGCAAGCAGGGGAAAACCGGAGGCACCGAGTACGACAAGTTCACGTCGGGGTCACCGCTTGCCGATGCCAAAGGCCACTCAATGTTGGCCGAGTGGATGCAGACGGTGGTGAAGCTCAACCTGGAACGCCCAGGCTAGCGTCGAACCGCCCTCTGCATGTTTCACAGGGCTCGCATTGACCAAGCAACAAGCTCTCGTCTCCAAGCCGTTCCTGAAGCGAGGGCGCCTTTCTTTACAATTGAACTGGGCGAAAAACCTCCTACCCATTTTCGCGTCCCGTTCCCCGTTCCCGCACATCCTTCACATCGGCGGTTGGGTTTTTTCTTCCTCAAGCCAACCTGCAATAGGCGAACCGTTGCGCGCCACCAAGATTCGAAGAGACTGACGGGCGCCCGCCTGAAACCGAGGACAGGCCGGTACGTCCCAAACTGAGATTCAGATCCTGCCCACCGCAGGCGCCAGCCGGAGCGGACACTGACACATCGGCGGTTGGGCGATGAACGAAAGTAGGGGGCCGCATGCGAACCCTGCCCCTACCCCCCACGATTTCTGAGGGGGAGGGTGGGGTTTGCTTCGTCCGGGAGCTCGCGAGCAGAGTGACCCCTACCCCACCCCCGGACATCGTGGGAGGTAGGGTCGGCTACACGCAAGAGTGACCCTGGGCAAGAGTGACCTCTGGCGCGCGGCTTGTTGGGGGACCGCGGGGAGACCAAACCTGGGTGCGCAAGCCGCTGCTGCCGCTTCGTTTTCAGCCATCTGGGGACCCCTCTGTGCCCGCACCAAAGGTCACTCCGGCGAAAGGTCACTCTTACGTATATCGGGAGCGGCCAAGAGGGGGGAGTCCAAGAGGGGGGGGGGGTGCAAATCATGACCGGCGGCATGTGCGCGGCCCAGCGGGGGGGCCCGGGACGTAATGAAATAAGAAGAGGCGCCATAAAATCTGGGAAATATCATGGCCCCCGCCATGATATCCACCCCCCCCTAGTCATCACCCCCCTCTTTTCCGCCCCCGAGTATAGTCGATAGGGGTAGGGTTCGCATCTGGCCCCCCAGACAGGGCTCCCGCCGGGGAAGTCGGCCTCCGGCTTCGGCGCGCGCCGTGCGAGCGGGCGGCGCTCCGCCGCGGCCGCAGGGCGCGCACGAAAAAAAATTCTCCGCGGGCCCCGTCGGTGCCTCGCGGGCTGTCCCGCGTGGGCGGTTGTTCCGTGCGCTGTCCGGTGGTTGTCCCGTGGTTGCTTTCTTTCTTTCGCGAGTTTGCCGCCTCGGCCCTCCCGGCCTCGCGGGTCTCTCCCGGCGGACAGGGGGAGACTACGTAACAATGCTTTCATAATACGGTGGACCGCCGGAGGCTCAGCACCCTCGACCTGCACGTCCGCACATAGGCAAACCCAATGCAAATGTAGCAGGGGAGTGCTGGCCACGCGCAGAAGGGGGTGGGGGGAGGGGGGAAGGCTTCTTAGAAGCACCCCTGCTTTTGCGAAGGCGCGGGCCCTCTCTGTAGGTGTGGGGCCGGCGCCCTCTGAGAAGCAGCCTCCTGCTAAGAAGCCTTCCCCCCTCCCCCTACCCCCTTCTGCGCGCCGCCAAGGTCGTCCTGCAGGCTGCCCCGCAGGCTGCCCTGCAGATGTCCCGCCAGTGTGTTCCGTTCCCGGGCGCGGCGGGCTGCTCTCTGGGTGGACCACTGCTAGTCCCGTGGGCGGTCCCGTGGTTGCTTCGTGCTTTGTCCGGGAGGTTGTCTCGTGGTTGACCCGCTGGTGTCCCGTGGGTTGTTCCGTGGGCGGCCCCGTGGTCATCCGTCCCATGGGATGCTCCGCGGGTTGCCCCGTCGGTTGCCTCGTGGCTGCCCTGTGGGACATGCGAATCGGCATGCACATCGCCATGCAGCTCAGATCGGCAACTCGAATGGCACCTACCTACAGAACCAGCTCTCGATCCGCGATGGTCGCCGGATCGGATTCGCGATCCATCAACGGTGGTTGCTGCACTGTGTTGTCGTGTTGTGATTTGTCTCTTGCCCCTCCGGTCCTCTCCAGTGGAGTGCCTGCTGGGAGGGCCCGCGGCGTACAGTGGAGGCCCGACCACAAGAAACCTTCCGCAGGAAAGCCAACCCTGAGACCCCAGGGCGTCCATTGAATTTTGGTGTGGGGACGTCGCGCTCTCCATCGCAAAACCGTCGAAGCCCAAGCAACCCGGGGCACCGTGGGGGCCAGCGGGGCGTTTCTTGGCATGGTTCTCCACCGTACAGCGAGGCCACCTGGGGAGAAGTCCCTCGAGATCCTGGTCGCTCTCGGTTGCCCCAGGATCCTCACAGGGACGCCACCGAAAGGCCGGGAGGGACAATCTTCCTCCTGGTCCGCCTCCTCCTCCTCAGCCTCATCCTCATCCTCATCCTCATACGAATCCTCTTCCTCATATTCCTCCGACTCCCCCCCCCCTCCTCATCCTCATCCCCTTCCTACTCATCTTCCTCCTCCACCTCCTCCTCCTCATCATCATCATCATCGTCATCATCATCATGTTCCTCATTCCCCTCCTCCTCCTCCTCCTCCTCCTCGTCCTCCTCCTTCTCTTCCTCCTCCTTCTCCTCCTTCTCTTCCTCCTCCTCCTCCTTCTAACCGTCCTCCTCCTCCATTCCTTCTCCTTAGAAATAACTTGTCCCTGTCGCACCCCGAAGCCAGCTTGAGGGCGGGCCAGGCTTTTCGCCTGAGACTTCCTCACCATCTATGACTCTGAAGCAAAAACATGGCAACGGTTTCACAGATGGAGGGCGGGTCGTTCTCAAAATGTGCCTCTCGCCTTAGCGCCGCGCAGATTTGTTTTCAAAATTTGCCGGAGTTGCACGGAGTGAGGGCGGGTCGTTTTCAAAATGTGGCTCTCGCCTTCTCGCCGCGCACATTCGATTGAAAAATGCAAAGCATTTCACAGATTGAGGACAGCTCCTTTTCACTCGTCTTAGCGCCGCGCACGTTCGTTTTCAAAAGTTGCATGGGTTTCACGGATTCCCCTGATCAACGTACCAGAAATGGTGTTTGAAAAAAAATCAGGATTGTGCGGGTGCAACATTTATGTTGATTCGCTGTGTTGAAGTCCCACAGATGGTGTTCTCGCGCGATTCCAAATCGGCAAGACGCAGCAGTCAGGTTGATGCGTGACGTGGAAATCCCGAGGACAATGTTTTGGCATGCTTCAGGGTCTTCAAACGATTGTCCTCCAACGAGGCAGATGCCTCAACGGAAATGAACTGTTATAGGGGCCTATGAAGAGGGAGCTTGGAGGGAGGGTTACTTCCAACATCGTTGATGACTCTTGGGTTTACTCTGGGCCTCCTCCTCCCCTTCCTCCTCCTCCTCCTCATAATCATCCTCATCCTCATCCGCAAAATAATGATAGCAATATTATAACAATAGTAATCATTATGGTGATACTAATACGAATAATGATAAT